CCTTTCGGAGTTGTTTACGAAGATTTCGTTGCGCCAGTATTTAGTCTATTTTGAGATGGTCATTTTTCTTGTCATGGGATTTCCAGAGTTGATATTTTTCTTTACTTATTTTGAGCAGCATAAGAGTGGTTGGAGATGTCTTGAATTGTGGACCTTTTAATTTAATAATCTTTGATGGAACAGCAACTGTAGAAGCTTTTTTAAGACAGTTGCACAGGAAGTTAATGCTTTCTTCTATCGAGTGACTTTCAATATTGTGTTGAGAGAGTTCATTACTGATATGGTTATGGTATGTCTCAATATCTATATCTTTCCACTGGATTTTGAATTTACTGACATAGCCAGATTTTATTGCTTTATTCGTTGGTTTTGATTTAACAATTCAAAATTTCAAAAAGTTTTTAAATTTAGTTTTTTTTATTTTTGATCAAAGTTTTAAATATTCAAATTCCAAATTTTTTTTTTTTTTTTTTTATTTTGAAAATTTCACCAAATAATTAAAATTTTAAAATTATAAACTTCGGTTTAAAATTTTATAGTTTAGATATTTAAGCAAACTTTAAAAATACTAAACTGAACGTACAGGTTTGATCATTTTACTTTTTGAAAGTTTGAAATTTTTGATTTTTGATTAAAATATAGATAAGGGGAAAAGGACTAAAACGTGAATACCTGTTACAAGTGCGAAACGGAATAAGAATGGAAGGAAACGAAATGAAATTTACCAAAACAAATCATAACGAAAACAATATTATCTAAAACTAAATATAATATAAAACAAGAGGCTAACTTGTTTGAACTACAGCGTGAAAATGAGAAATATGTGTCTTTAAGTCGGAAAAATTAATAAGTAAGACCTGATTTTGACACACGTTGATTCTCTTAATAAAAGAACAATATGCAGAAATTACTTTTCAACTTTGTGATTACTGCTCAAAATAGTAGAATAATTGTGTTTATATTAAACTTTTCTGATTTTTCACTGCTATTCCCTAGTTTTCTTTCTGTCACCTTTTTTTTTTTTTTAACTCAGGAGTTAACCACTGTAATATTTATCAATCATAAAATATCATTGACTGTAAAAAACAAAGGTAGCATGAGATAGAATTGAATTCTTATATATCTTTATACTGCAAGGTTATTGTAAAATATTTTCAGTACAGAAAATTGACATTAAATCGAAAAATGTCTTCTTTCGTATTCACGTTTTCTTAAAAAAAAACAAAAAAACAAAAAAAAGACAAAACAACCGGCCTACTTTGTTTAAAAAACACCAGGACGTTTTCAATGTTGCTCTCGAAAAAACCAGGACAATGTAAAACTCTGAATTTTAAGTTAAATTCAAGGAAATAGTTTTTGACTTAAATATGTATAGCATTCAGAATAAGATGAACAGTCATGAATAAATCATTAATTTATACTTGCGAAATAGCAGTTAATCGATCTGATCGCATTTAATATCACTCGAAAATATACAATATCTCAGGCGGACACTTTACCTATCTTTTTACATGACATAATAAAAAAAGACAACCATCGACCAAAATTATGCTAAATCAATAAAGGAAAAGTAAATCAATAGAGGAAAAGTATATATTTTTTTTATGACAAAAATCAACCAAAATAATTTACCATTAAAATTGGTCACTTCAACTTTCTAAAATGTGTATTGGTGATGTGAACTTATAAAACATTATATCATTTAAATTGCGGTTTTGTTTAACAGTGTGTTTTCTTTTTCAAAATATATTAAATTGAACTGGGCAACAGGCTAAGTATCTGCAAGCCTCTCCAAGAGAGAGAAAACATCACATACACAAACTTATGACAACACAAACAAATATTTCATTATCATTACTACGTACTGCATGGTGTTGCTCACGTAATTAAAACTGAGATCACGCATTTATCAAAATGCCCACAGCTCATATGGATAGAATGGCACTTTATGTACAGCGGCAACTATTACATGGATATTCAGACTGAAATGTTTATGTGATATGTTTATGTGGTATGAATTCAAACTTTCAGAAGACTTTCACGCTGAGTTTGATATAAATGGTCTACCTCTTAGCATTATCCTGGCTCCAAGCTTCTAATAATTTTTGGTCTAAATCGTAAAGACAGCATGTATAGCGGATAAGCAGTGTAAAGCAGATACTTTAAAAAACCAATCCACAACCTCCCACAGTTGAGGCGACGTTCATTACGACCAATAAATTCGAAATTCGCTGTTATCTTTTGATTGATTGTGATAACCAAATAGTTCTAAATAAATTATCTGAAATGCTTAGCTTCTGTTAGAAATGTTTTATTGTAGGTAAAGCTAACCTGTTTGATGGAGTTTGAAATAGGTTCGGGAAATGTGTTTTCTTTTTAAATAGCTACCTTGAAAATGTCAGGATACTGATATATCATATGATAGATATAAGAAGATGTGGTATGAGTATGTCCGACTTGTTTAAAGAAATAAAGCCTCTTCCTTAAATATTGTTTTTGTAATTAAAAATGATTCAACTCTTTTTGTTCTTTTTATTCCTACTTAAGAATGACCATAATCTAAGTGTTTCTTTCTTTTTTTTAAATTAAGTCTCCGCTCTTTAGACATGTTAGAAATATTTATTTGCTTCATTCAATTTTCTCCGCTTTGATGCCCGTCTGCTTCTTGTTTTATTTTTTACCTTGATTGGTAATTAAACATGTTCATTTCGTTTCGTTTCGTTTGCTTTTGTTTTGTTTTGTTTTGTTTTGTTTTGTTTTGTTCTCTCCCCCCCCCCCCCCCCTGCTATTTCGCAAGTATAATGGTTTAATTCATGACTGTCCATGTCATTCTGAATACTATACATATTTAAGGCAAAAACTATGTCCTTGAATTCCACTTATTATTTAGCGTTTTACATTATCCTTGTTTTTCGAGGGCAAATTTTAAAACGTCCTAGATTTTTTAACAAATGGGCCGTTTTTTTTTAAAGAAAATGTGAAATATCATTTCGTTTCCTTCCATTCTTATTCCGTTTCGCACTTGTAACAGGTATCCACTTTTTAGTCCTTTCCCCCTTTCCTATATTTTAATCAAAAATCAAAAAATCCAAACTTTCAAAAAGCGAAATGCATGATCAAAACTGTACGTTCAGTTTAGTATTTTCAAAGTTTGCTTAAATATCTAAACTATTAAATTTTAAAACGAAGTTTACAAATTAAAAAAAAAAAAATAAAAAAATTAGAATTTTGATATTTTAAAACTTTGATCAAAAATCAAAAAAACTAAAATTTGAAAACTTTTTGAAATTTTGAATTGATAATTAGTGTTACACGGACCATATATGAGATGCAAGTGCTCACTAACATATGGGTTATTGAGTGACAGGACATCATCAATATATCGGAACGTAAAAGCAGATCTTTCACGTTGCTCCGTTATGTTGGTTTGTCGCGTGTGTAAAAGAGAGGCGAAGGATACCAAAGGGATATTCAAACTCATAAGTCGAAAATAAACTGACAACGCCATGGCTAAAAAGACAAACAGACAAACAACAGTACACCAAACACAACATAGAAAACCAAAGACTGAGCAACATGAACCCCACCAAAAACTGGGGGTTTTCTCAGGTGCTCCGGAAGGGTAAGCAGATCCTGCTCCACATGTGGCACCCTTCGTGTTGCTCATGTTATTACAAACCCGGGGATAAGTCTAATTCGGTAGGTCGCATGCGGGTAAAAGGGGACGGGATCGCAGTTACGACAATTTGAACATATCCGTTGTCATCTGTGAAACGGATATTCCATAACGGTCAACCTACTCGTGATGGTGTCCGTAAAATTTACGAACTTGGGGACGATTTATACTTCACCACTTGGAACTCTTGGTTTAATATCTTCCTTGTGAGCAGCAAACCTCTATCAAGGAAATCATGATAGGAAATACTGTCCAAGCCCTGGAATATCTTGTCATCATGGTCATTGTAAGCATTGTGTGAGACAAACAAATAAAAATGAGTTATATATGAAAGATTTAATTTTAATCAAGTTGATCAATGCTAATCCAGCTTGCAGTATCGTCAAAATCTAGATAACCACCTTGTCCACATCAAATGTAGATTTGATTGGAGTAAAGCCAAACAAAAAGGACTATCTTAATTATCTATATACTTCTACTATCATTGTGAGTAAAATTTAGATATATCGTGACTTGTTTACGCGTTTTAGCATAATGAAATCTCCGATCTTTATTTTATTTAGATGGGTTCATTTCATTCGAAAACAGGCAAATTAAACCTATTATATACATATATTCTCTCCCATTAAAGTAGGAACATGAGACACATTATCATATGTAAAAATAGTTTACAAATCATTAGTCAATCCACCAATAATGAATTCAGATGAACTTATATATACATGTTATCATGAGATATTATAATTATTCAAGACTTTTTTGTTTTGTATACACAATTAGATAATTAATAGTCGAATGATAAACAACCCCGGAATAGATCATTTGGTCAACCAGAGACATATATACATATATATGTGTATATAATTGTGTCTCTGGTACAACTATAAAGTAAAATAAAATGGGGCACTCATGGTTTTAGATTACATAATATTGTGTTTTTAAAGACATTACTGTGAAATCGATCCCTCAATTAGATATTTATCTGAAGAGGACATTGATAGAAAACATATGGAAAAGAATTAGCAACATTTACTTGAGAAAATGGTAATACGAGTTTTTACACTAAGACATGCCCTGGTAACAGACCTCTGCACTGTAAATATATATATATATATATTTTTTTCAGTTTAAACTGAGTTTTTTATATTAATTTTATAACTGAGCACCTGATTTTAGTGTACATAAAAGTTCTTTTGCAGGAGTTTAACTGTTCATAATGTTTTACTAGCCTTTAATTTTAGTATAAACCAACCTTTACTTGATAAAGCTTGGTGTACTCCAACTATTGGAGGAAAATATAGAGAAAAGAGATTGAGGTTGTTGGACATACCGAGTAGGCAAGATCACTTGAAGATGGAACTATCGTGGTTCATTCACATTGGTTTGTTGTTTATTTTGTGGGGTTTGTAACAACACGTTGCAAGCTGCATTTGCAGTCAGTAATATAACAAATTTCACAATAATTATGCATTTGCTATACAAAATGTTTGACTCTGGGCTATTTTCACAAACAATGCAACCTTACTTTACGACCAGTCGGTATCGGGTCCGTTCGCCCTAATTACGTGTTCGCCCTTTGTTTGATCAGCTACAGAGCGCCCTTGGTTCGTTCGCTTTAGATAAAAAGTAAAATATTTTAATAGTAATGTTCTTAAAGGTGGTATGAGTGTCTAAATGAAAATGAGAATTTAATGGACCTTAAAAATCAGACATTTTAGACTATTTTGTATAGATATACAGGGAAAGTAGTCACCTTTTTAGCTTAAAGTCGTATTTTCATTTAAAAACAAATGATAGAAATTGCTCATAATTTAGATATGAAGTACTAATATTATAAGCTTTCAAAAAACAGAAAAAAAATAAATAGGTCACTGTCATGACTGTGCATAAAAGCATACCTGCCAACCCTCCCGTTTTGAGCGGGAGACTCCCGCTCAAGTGGTGAAATTCGGGAGATCTCCCGCTTGCCGTACCCTCCCGCACAGGAGTATAGAATCTCCCGCTTTTGGATACTGATTTCAACCTTGAATGACAAGTCAACATTAATTACGTATTTGTGTCACTGATGAGGGCCGTTTTTGCCTGTAAATCACAGACCATGTGAAATTAAATGGCTTCACTTGACAGCTTGGGTGTCAAACATAGTACTAAGTAACAATCATTAACGACTTTTGCTTCAAGCTTTGTGTTATTAAAAACATTTCAAAGAAATTTCGGGATTACTTCCCCTGTTTAATCCTGTTTTAAGTTACCCTTCTTAAAACAATGTGAATTGATAAAACAATATAAACATATAAATAAATACAAATTAAACAAAGAATCATAAAAGGATGGCAATTAAAAGATTTTGTTTGCCTTAAGACAAAAAAAATAATTATATTTTAAAAATCACTTAAAAGATCTATACTTCTAGGTAATGTTTATATTGAAATTTATAAGTTATGTATTGAACCATAATATGAGAACTTTGTAAGAGCACACACATAATGCACAAACTGTGACAACATGATTGCTCTCGTTTAATAGAGGTATGTGGGGTGAAATGTTGTCCTGATGGAATTGAAATGTCAAAGGTGATGAAATAGGAAAGAAACAAACAACACACCTTCTGTAGGATATAACCATATTAAAAGAAACAAAGTATATCTATTAACTCTTATATGTGTTTCGTAGAAAAATAAATAAACACGTCATATATTTCACTTGAAAATGTCGTTCGCGCAAAATCTCCCCCTCAGCTGTCATAGCTGAGAGGGAGATCTCCCTCTTTGAAGGTTTCAGAGGTTGGCAGGTATGATAAAAGAAAGAAAAACCTCGTAGTTTTCTCTAATAATTCTGTACAGGAACTCTTTCCGAAAATACAAAGGGTACCCAAAAGTTAGGACTTAGGTTTAACAATACAGACTCTGACTTTAATTATTCTTATAAAGGACTCTGACTTTAATTATTCTTATAAAGGACTCTGACTTTAATTATTCTTATAAAGAACAAAAAAATGGCTTACTACTATGCTGATTTTTGCGGGAAATTTCATAGGTACAAGGACCATTAACTTCACTTTTGAATTTTGTCATTTAATGATAGAATTTACATGTAATCGGGACACTAATTATGTGTTTTGCGTTGATCTTCATGTTTCAAGAAGAGAAATAGGTACATCAATTGAGCCAGACTCATCACCATTCTGATTCTGACCATAAAATTTTTAAATTCTTTTAAAAGAAAGTGTATAGATATTGGTTTGACTTAAAACGAAAAATATTCCAAAATCGAGGACATCATAAAGCGATGACGTCATGTCCCCCACACTCATATCTTCCCCCAACACCTTCAATTTACAGAAAATTCAATCTTAATCAGATCAATCAAAGGGGAGTTTTCATAAATGAAGTAAAAATATTTGTCTGAAGGTAACAGCAGTATGTTGTTTTTATGCAACGCTTCGATCTGTTATTGAATAAAACAGCAGGTGACAGTAACTGATAACTGACGGTTACTGGTCCTCGACCAATACTAATCCAAATAATTATGACGTCTTGAAAGCCTATTTTAATTTCTGTGACACCTTCCTTGAAATGCTATTTAATTTTTTTCTGTGACGCCTTCCTTGAAATGCTTTTTAATTTAAAAAAGCCTTTCAAGATTCATAATTATTTGGACTAATAGTGTATCATCCCTGCCTTAACACAATTAAGGATTATATATGTATTAGTTTTAACAACTGACCCCCAGAGGTCCTAAGTCTGTTGGTATCAAAATTGGGCTTATCATGGTGATGATTTGTACATATTAACATTAGCATGAGTAGCAATACCAATTTTACATTTTATTAGTGACACATCTCCACAAATCCTAATAGAGAGTTTATATGGATTCCACTGTACCCTCACAGATTTTGATGGGTGCTTCGAACAATGAAGGAATTTCAGTACATCAATACATACATGTATATATATTTCATAATTGAGTATTTTTGATATATGATAAATATTTATATTATGTTTTATATATTTGATATTATATGAAATATATTTATTATATATAAGGGTCTGGATGGCCATTGGGTTTACAGCAAAGAGAACAAAGGCCAAAAAAAATTAAAGATCAGAGAAAAATGAGCAAAAAACGTTGAGAATAGAGAATGGAGTGCAAATGTGTCTATGGAAAATAAAGAATTAGGTTTACAATACATTACTGATTACAGAAATGAACGATGTACAGAATAAAGAAATCATATGATTACAGATAAAGGACAAGGTACGATAATGCCTGTTTTTGGCCCCCCTTTTTTTTTTAAATTTTAAAAATGAGAAAATAGGGGGCCAAAAACGGGCCTTATCGTACCTTGTCCTTTAATAGTAAAATAATTTTCATAAGATTTTAAAGATCAAGAAAAATGCAAAATTAAAAAATTCAGAAATGTCTTCGAGGGAGGTTAAGAGGCAGACATGCATAATCATATTTTCACCAACTATGGGAGAGGTCTTTTGTCTCAAGGGCAATCAACACTTCGGTGGAAGTAAGTTAGGGGGTCTAAAAGGTATGACTGTTTTTATCATTTTATAAGTGTATTAGTGTACAGATGGAAAAAAATGTTTTATGATTAAAGAATTCATGAACATGAAGTGAACAAGCTTTAGAACCATAGCTCTAATGGTACAATATATATTTTTTTCATTTCTCTGTATTTTACTGATAAAAGGTTTTAGTTTTAATTTCAAATTAACATTAAGATTATTCATGTTATTGGTCATGACAGTATAAATATTTTAAGACATCAATAACTTTTTCAAACCTTCATGGAAATTTATGAAACTTTGGCACAAGTTTCTGAAGCAATTTTTTTCCTGCATTTTACTAAAAGATTGACATTTTGAAAGTCAACATTTTATTTTTTCACCAACTGTATCAAAAGCAGGAGAGACGCAGGGTTCCATGGAACCTTTTACAAATTTGTCATTATATCTGCTCCAAATTTAGATGAGGTTTCCACTTATCATAAACATGATAAATTCGAATGAGTTATATAATCAGAAAAATCTTTAATGGAGGACTATTAAGTATTTATTGGGAGGGAAGCATGTAAAAATTTTCTATTTTAATTTTTTGAGGATATTGGGTATGTGAGCTTGCTCACTAAAGATTTGTTCATTTAAATGGTGTAACAACTTTTTTGCACAGTACATGTATGTGGAATGGGGTATTTGTGAACTTGCCCACTTAGGTTCTATTTAAATATATATTTAGGTTTCCCAAAACTTTGAAAGATAAATGGATGATATTTTGAAGTATGAAAGAAGGATTAATTTGGTCTGGTAATAATAGAACGTTTCACTTTCATTTTTAAAAAGATAAAAAAATCAATTCCATTTAAGAGAAGATTAAGAAAAAGTGGTAATTCTACAAACCTTTACCCTACATCATTTTCAAATTGTAAATATTTTGTATATAGCAAAAACCAAGTGTTCTTTCAAAGGAAAACCACGTCCAACTATCATGACTATGGAAATACCCTGTGCTATTAAATCACATGATATAGTTTACAGGTATCTGTATATTGTTTATACAGTGATTATACACAAAATAAAAATGTAATCGTGTTCATTTTCATGATTTTGGCATACAATACCTCTCGTATTACATAACTGTTAGATAGTTGATAACAAGAAATGATAAATTATCCTGTAAATTATTTGTCAAAATGAATGATTAAGGATTAATCAGAAATTTTTTTCTCAAAAGAACTAAGGCAAAAAATAAATCTTTATAAAAAATGCAAACATGGTCTATTTTACATGTAAAATCATTGTCATAATCATCTCATATTAGTGTACAATTTTAGGTTGATTGAAGTTACTTTTATCTTGGACAAATATATAAATGTGTAAGTCCTCAGTTTTTATCAGTTATTTGCTTGAAACAAAATAAAAATTGAATAAGTCTAAAGACATGAATGAGTAATATGAGCATTTTCTACAATAAAGTTTATTTATTTTTGTAGTTTATACACCACTATATTGCTATTTAAAAGTAAAAGGTATATGAACGCAGAAATTTTTGCAGTGAAGAATAACACCAAATTAAATAAAATTTAGTTAATATTTTTTTCTAGTTGAAAAGTGGATTTTCAAGATTGAATTATGAATTATGTAATTGTACACACATACACTTAGGATGTAATATGTCCCAAATGAAAAGGATATTTAATCAGAAATTTCTCTTTTGGAAAAAATTACAAACACTAAACAGTAAACACCTGAGGAGCAGGATCTGTTGACCCTTTGGAAGCACTGAATAGGAATGACAAGTATCTCATGATAAAAACAGTGTGGCCAGATCACTTAAATTAGTTATAGCACAGTGACTCCTGAACTTGTCAAGTTTGTAACAGAAGCCTACAGCATAATCATACCAAATTTTTGTAATATACCAGTAGATATACAAAATGTACATCTACCTAATTTAAAAGTTTCTGGGTTAACAAGAAGGTTCACCTATCTCAATAGAAGTTTATATTCATTAGATTGCATGTTGAACACAAATTACTTACCCATACTTTAACATAAATATAAATTTTACATATAACGATTTAAAATACAAAAGAAAAGTTAAAAATATTTTTTTCATGATAAAAAGAAGATGTGTGGATTATGTCGATGAAACAGCTACCCACTAACATTCTTATCTCAGAGGGTTTTTATTTCCAGTTCAGTTTCATCATAGACAGACAGTTACAATATAACCTTTGTATCATCTGATCATATCCATGCTATCAGTTGTCATTATATTAAAGGGTTGTAAAATCTTTTTATTTTGTTTTTTTTTAGAAATGGACTGAGTTACTAAGTCTATAACAGTAAGGTGGTCACGGACAGGACACCATGTTCTACTCTTGTTTTATCGGCCATCTTCCTTTCAAGGTAACCAAGGTGAGTAACTATAGTAATGTACATGATGTATTTGTTGTATTCTGTTGTTCATACTATTTGGGTTTCAAAGATGTTTTCATACTATCTTGTTTTTCCAGGATGTTTTCATACTATCTTGTTTTTCCAGGATGTTTTCATACTATCTTGTTTTCCAGGATGTTTTCATACTATTCATGCTATTTGGGTTTCCAGGATGTTATAACCAGTAAAATATCAATATTAAGACAACTTTCAGTGGATTTCCAACTAAAAAGTTAAAAAAAATTAAAACAATACATTTACCTGAAAACTCATAAAGGTTTGAATCAGTTTCTTATCTATTTGCTTTATTTTGCAATCTGTTTTTAAAAAAAGTACATTAATAGTTTCAAATCGATGCCGGTATCCTCCAGGAGTGAATTTCATCACCTTGATGATCTTGTAACATGTGTGACTTAAGTAAGCAAGGTTATAAGTATGAACTACAATAGATAGAGTTTGACATTAAGGGTATTCTAATTGCCCAGAAAAGTAAAAGTTGTTCTCATGCAATTAAAACAATATACTTGGGTCATACCAAAGACATAAACATTGGTATTTGCTGCTTCTCCAGCTTATCATACAGCAGTTAAGGAAGATCAAAGACTTGTTACAACAATGTATAGAGCATGAAGTGTTTGAGCAATGTCCAATAAAGAGTGGGGATATACTTTACAACTGTTAACATGGTTAAGAATATGTAACTTACGTAGGGTTTAATCATTGGAATGGAGCCCAATTATGAGGGCTTATTCTGATTATTAACTTATTGATAAATATCTTGGTCACAATTTAACTAAGTCTTATGTATATTTTTTACAGGAAGAGCTGTACAACTTGTTTGTTGGCTGTGGAGAAATACACGATATATTTGTGTGTGATGAAAGTAATAAATCTTCTTATAATTATGGGTAAGTCAGTTGACCAATGGTCTCATTTAATCTTTCTTTAACTATGGGTATGTCAATTGACCAATGGTCTCATTTAATCTTCCTATAACTATGGGTTTATCAATTGACCAATGGTCTCATTTAATCTTCCTATAACTATGGGTATGTCAGTTGACCAATGGTCATATTTAGTCTTCCTATAACTATGGGTAAGTCAATTGATCAATGGTCTCATTTAGTCTTGAATTTAATAAGCTTTGCTAACTGGATGTTGACACCATTTATGTTAAATGTCAAGTTGACATGTATATTTATTTTCTCTAAATCTTCACCTAAATGGATAAAGTATGAATAATTTCACAGACTGTGTGTGTGTTGTTAGATATAATTGCTGCTTTTAAGGAAGGAATAATTAAAGTTTAATTTGATAATTATAACTTAACTAGAAGAAAATGTTTGAGACATGTTCTGACATCCCAAAACCTGAGAATTTCAGGGGTTGTAATAAAAAATATGAATGAACTTTTGGACAAACATAAAGGGAGATGATTCAAACATTGAAATGAAAATTTAAATCTGACTAATTTACTTTATACATGTAAATATTACTTACATCTTCAAGTTTATAAACAGGACTAGTATAAGTACCACCCTGACTGACATACAATAATGTATCTAGATAATAAGTACCACCCTGACTAACATACAATAATGTATCTAGATAATAAGTACCACCCCTGACTAACATACAATAATGTATCTAGATAATAAGTACCACCCCTGACTGACATACAATAATGTATCTAGATAATAAGTACCACCCCTGACTGACATACAATAATGTATCTAGATAATAAGTACCACCCTGACTGACATACAATAATGTATCTAGATAATAAGTACCACCCCTGACTAACATACAATAATGTATCTAGATAATAAGTACCACCCCTGACTGACATACAATAATGTATCTAGATAATAAGTACCACCCCTGACTAACATACAATAATGTATCTAGATAATAAGTACCACCCCTGACTGACATACAATAATGTATCTAGATAATAAGTACCACCCCTGACTGACATACAATAATGTATCTAGATAATAAGTACCACCCCTGACTGACATACAATAATGTATCTAGATAATAAGTACCACCCCTGACTGACATACAATAATGTATCTAGATAATAAGTACCACCCCTGACTGACATATAATAATGTATCTAGATAATAAGTACCACCCCTGACTGACATATAATAATGTATCTAGATAATAAGTACCACCCCTGACTGACATACAATAATGTATCTAGATAATAAGTACCACCCCTGACTGACATACAATAATGTATCTAGATAATAAGTACCACCCCTGACTGACATACAATAATGTATCTAGATAATAAGTACCACCCCTGACTAACATACAATAATGTATCTAGATAATAAGTACCACCCCTGACTGACATACAATAATGTATCTAGATAATAAGTACCACCCCTGACTGACATACAATAATGTATCTAGATAATAAGTACCACCCTGACTGACATACAATAATGTATCTAGATAATAAGTACCACCCCTGACTGACATACAATAATGTATCTAGATAATAAGTACCACCCTGACTGACATACAATAATGTATCTAGATAATAAGTACCACCCCTGACTGACATACAATAATGTATCTAGATAATAAGTACCACCTGACTGACATACAATAATGTATCTAGATAATAAGTACCACCCCTGACTGACATACAATAATGTATCTAGATAATAAGTACCACCCCTGACTGACATACAATAATGTATCTAGATAATAAGTACCACCCTGACTGACATACAATAATGTATCTAGATAATAAGTACCACCTGACTGATATACAATAATGTATCTAGATAATAAGTACCACCCCTGACTGACATACAATAATGTATCTAGATAATAAGTACCACCCTGACTGACATACAATAATGTATCTAGATAATAAGTACCACCCTGACTGACATACAATAATGTATCTAGATAATAAGTACCACCCCTGACTGCCATACAATAATGTATCTAGATAATAAGTACCACCCTGACTGACATACAATAATGTATCTAGATAATAAGTACCACCCTGACTGACATACAATAATGTATCTAGATAATAAGTACCACCCCTGACTGACATACAATAATGTATCTAGATAATAAGTACCACCCTGACTGACATACAATAATGTATCTAGATAATAAGTACCACCCTGACTGACATACAATAATGTATCTAGATAATAAGTACCACCCTGACTGACATACAATAATGTATCTAGATAATAAGTACCACCCTGACTGACATACAATAATGTATCTAGATAATAAGTACCACCCTGACTGACATACAATAATGTATCTAGATAATAAGTACCACCCCTGACTGACATACAATAATGTATCTAGATAATAAGTACCACCCCTGACTGACATACAATAATGTATCTAGATAATAAGTACCACCCCTGACTGACATACAATAATGTATCTAGATAATAAGTACCACCCTGACTGACATACAATAATGTATCTAGATAATAAGTACCACCCCTGACTGACATACAATAATGTATCTAGATAATAAGTACCACCCCTGACTAACATACAATAATGTATCTAGATAATAAGTACCACCCCTGACTGACATACAATAATGTATCTAGATAATAAGTACCACCCCTGACTGACATACAATAATGTATCTAGATAATAAGTACCACCCCTGACTGACATACAATAATGTATCTAGATAATAAGTACCACCCTGACTGACATACAATAATGTATCTAGATAATAAGTACCACCCCTGACTGACATACAATAATGTATCTAGATAGGTTATTTTTAAGTGATCGTTTGAGGGATAGAAGAAATAAATAAATAAAAGGAAGTAACTTAAAGGTCCCTATAGGAGCATTAAATGTCATAATCAAGGAGATCATTTGGACAATAGATAGCCCTTAACCTACAAAGCAAATTGACTCTATTGGCATTGTAGTAGGATGTCTGAAACCTAATTTTAGTTCTTGAAAACATTGTTCTGTTGCTTTACAGTTTTTTTAAAAAACAAATAAAAATAAGAACATCTGACATGCCAAAAAACACCAAAGAAGTCCATAAAACAATTAGGTCTTTGCAGAAAATGATTGAGCAACAGGAATCACATGGAAACGCAATTCTTAACTCGTGTTTATATGTTATAAAGTTTATGATATCCACATTGAAAGTATAAAGTTTAAATAACTATAGTGTAATCAATTTTTATTGAATATTATTGTTTGTACAGCAATAACATATATGTGTATGTGTGTCTAGTTACAATGTAATTACTTAATTTCTTTCAACTTTTCAATAATTTGATATACTACATGTACTTATATAGGCAAATTTATTGGAATATTCTGATGCACAACTTATAATGTAAATACTGATTTATCAGTTTTTCCAATTTTGTAAATATTAATAATTTTGTGAAAAAAGTAGCAAATATCATGATTATGTTTACAAAATATTCTAGATTACAAAGGTCACAATATAGGTATTAATCTTAGTACATTTATACACTCACCATATCCACATAGACATTTACATGTATAGTAAATAGTGAAACCACTAAATATCATACAAGTAAATAAGTGCACATAGTCTTTTACATATACATCTAAATACATGAATATAATAAAGGTTAAGTCATTCAATTTCATCAAATCTTGACATTATATTTTACAGCTTTGTGAGGTATAAAACTAGCGAACAGGCTCTCAAGGCTGTTCAAGAATTAAACAACTGGCCTATTCATGGGTCTCATATGATTGTTGACATAGCCAAGGATACAGCTCAAAGAATAAGAGAAGGTAATTTGGTTTGTTAGTCAAGGTTTATTCAATTCATAAAAAATATATCATATACCATGTATACAGTATATTAGGTTTTATTCTCTTTTTGTTTGCTAAAAAAAAGTTTAATTTTTACCAAAAGGAAAATTCTCTGCATATGCCAGAAAAATCTGTGTTAATATGTTTCATACATTATACATGTACAGGTAACATGGCTTCCAAAATGGTTGTATTTGCCAGTCATTCTTGTCCGTCTGGTGTATGGCTTAAACGGACAACAAATAGGGATTAACCGTTTTCACATGAGGAAAAAATTGTCTGGTTAGTGTAGAGCTGAAACAGACACTAATAGGGGCTTGCCATTTTCACACGAGGAAAAAATGTTTTTTTTAGTAATTTGTATTAGCTGCTACATGAACAAGGTCAATCATCATAAGGGATTAACATAAAGTATGTAGGTATTGTAAGTTTTACAATTTGTTTCAGAAGCATGTTCATCATATGTTTTTTGTCATATATTTTACAGAGAAGAAATTGAACAATGATAGAATGGTGAAGTGTACTGGTCCTCGCCCTCCTCCTATATGTGATAAGGAAATGGATTCAAATACCTTGGTACAAGATATCATGTATATTAGCCGTCTGAAAGAAACTTGTGCCAGTCTCAATTATAAAGTTAACAGTGGTTTACTAGGAGGTAATGTATGACAGTTCAAAGGTTAACCAACAGCATGATGGGTAAAGGGGTAAAACAAATAATTTAAGGAAACTTAAGGAAAAATGAACCTTATTGAAAATAATGGAGTTATGAATGAATAGTATTATTGCATTTATATCATAGTTGCAAGGAAAGAATACTTATAGCTAAGTGGGAAAACTACTGGTGTCATTGAAATAGATAACCATTTTTATAATACACAACCTTATCTAATGAAACACAAAACATGAATGAAATATAGTACAATATTTAATTGATTGACTGATGAATGCTACTGTAGATTTAAAGAAAATGTTCTGTTATATGAATGACCTTTGTATATATCTTTTCATGAGATGTGTGGATAAATTTAAACAAATAAGCAGATTTTTGTTAGTAATCATGGTTGTATATTGGTATCACGTCGTTGTCGTCCGAAGACACATTGGTTTCCGGACAATAACTTTTGTTTAAGTGTATGGATTTCTATGAAATTTTACCATAAGGTTTATGACCACAAAAGGAAGGTTGGGATTGATTTTGGGGGTTATGGTCCAAACAGTTCAGGAATTAGGGGCCAAAATGGGGCCCAAATAAGCATTTTTCTAGTTTCCAGACAATAACTTGTGAAATGGTGTATGGATCTCTCTGAAATTATACCACAAGTTACCATATCACAAAGGGATGGTAAGAATTTGCTTTGGGGGGTTATAGCTCAAACTGTTTAGGAATTAGGGAAAAAAAAGGGGGAAAAACGAGGGTTTCCAGGTTAATGGACAATTACTTAAGTACAAAACATAATTTTAAAGCAGTGTAAGGGATGTAATTCAAACACATATTGTCAAATTACCTCCCTTACACTGCTTGTAAATTATTTATAAAGAAATGTATTGTCTAGGTGATTAGATGTCAATTTATTTTTGGAAGTTACTATTTTAAAAATGTTTAATAAAGGTAATTTAATTGTAGCCATGATTATATGTATGTGAAGGAATTTTATTTTTAGATATTACTATTTAATGTTGCTGATGGAGGCTTTTTAATTTTAGGCATGATTATGATGTCATTTCTATTTTAAAAATTATTTAATTTTAGCCATGATTATGTATTTGAATGAATTTTATTTTTAGATATTACTATTTAATGTTGCTGATGAAAGTGTTTTAATTTTAAGCATGATTATGATGTCATTTTCTATTTTAATACTTTTATGATGTATTTAAATGGGTTTTTATGGTTGCAAAGTCCTAGCTGTCAATTTATTTTTAGAAGTTACTTTTAAATGCTGATGAAGGAATTTTATTTTTAAATATTACTATTAAAAGTTGCTGATGAAGGTTTTATTATTTTAGCCATGACTATGATTTCATTTTCTATTTAAATACTTTTATGATGTATTTAAATGGGCTTTTATGGTTAAAAAAAAGCATTTTTCTAGTTTCCAGACAGTAACTTGTGATTAAGTGTATGGATCTCTCTAAAATTGTACTACAAGGTTCCATACTACAAAGGAAAGACTGCAATTGAGTTTGATGGTTAATGCTAAAAGGGGGATTCAAAAAGTTTGGGGGGAAGGGGGGGTTTCCAATTTTTTTTTCAAAGGGTTCATATTTTTTTTCAAAATTTTCAAATTTTTTAAAAGTTTCAAGAAGAAATATTCAATCGCACAGTATTGCGCATTAGATTTGTAAGATCTTTGACCACATTTATTTTGTGTCAGAAACCTACATCATGTCAAAAGTTTGATCACAATCCAAATTCAGATAGTATCAAGCTTGAATATTGTGTCCAAATTTGCCCCAACTGTTCAGGGTTCGACCACTGCATTCGTATCAGGCTGCGCTCAGCGAAGCATTTTATTATTGATGGAGGAAGCTGGAGTGCTCATAGAGAACTATCAATTTCTTGGAAGAAAATATTCAGAATATCAACCATGTAATACTGTTAATACACATTGTATGCTTCTATCTTTTTTGCATTGAATTTATCCTACAAATTTGTGCATGATGAACTATATTTATTAGTGCATATTTAACAGTCAAGGGTCTAACTTAAATAAGTTTTTAGAGAAAGATAACATACATGTGTTATTACAGATGCTTTCATGAGATGTCTACTCTTTATTCCTAAAATGTTCTTAATCATGTATGGCCTTCAACCATGGTAAATCAATGAGACAAGGCATTTAAGCGATAAACTTAGCTGAAATAACAAGGCTTAGTTTTTACGGGCGTATAATTTAGAATTGGACACATGGGAATTACTTGGAAGCTTGCGTAGTACATCATTTTATGCTCTGATTATTATTTATTACAATAAATTAAAATACATTGTAGCTTTGAAGCAATGTAGAGTAGCTGTAATAACACCCTTTAGTTATAACAGGTTACTTTTTCTGTAATAACACTAATGTAATATGCATAATTGGCAAACTATATCTTTCTAGAGTTTAGTATGCATATAGACAATAATAATATCAATAGAATTTGTATACATTTTAACAAAACAAAGGATGTATACTGCCCCTTTGAAACATGTTACATGCATATGTTATCCCAGTTTGGGGATTTTTTAAGTCAAAAATAACATATGTTATTTTTCTCTAATAACTAATTTAAGTTAGACCCTTGACTGTTTAACATGTTAAAGCATTTTGTATTTATTTTGAAAAGTTATATTATAGTGTTATTAAATGAGTGTTTTAAAATTAATCCTTTATTATGTTCAAATACAGTAGTATTAGGTCATGGTTAACTGTATTTGCTCAAGACCTTGCCCAGGACAAATACAGCTGATCTAGACCCAATACGACTGTACGAGGACATAATATAGGATTAATATGAAAACACCCATTTTATGACACCTTTATTAACCAATGACTTAATTTTCTGACGTAAGTGTTTTGATAAATTATTTGTTACTACAGTTAGACATGCGCAAAAGCTTCTTTAACATGTATTTTCAATGGTTTGAAGGGCCCTTTGGTACAATTAAACAAAGGCCCATTCGAAGAGGTGCATATCCAAGATTGTCAACCATACAAATTTCTTTCACTTCGGACTGCACCTTCAGAGAATCTTGTTTAAATCCTGTATTAAGACCAGAAAAAATTCTGTATTTACTGGCTTTTCTGTTTTAGACCTGTATGAATGACCAGCTCTCAGACGCATGGAATTAAATGGACAATTTATAATGTACTTTAACATGTTTAAGTCATTGGTTAATAGATACATATAATTAAAAATTACATTTTTAACAAAACATCATGATATTATTAAAATAAGTTGATGTGGTATATATAATTGGCAATGAGACAACTGAATACCAAAGACCAAAGGACAATAGGGCACTGTAAGGCCTTCATCAATGAGAAAACCAATACTGTATATAGTAAGCTATAAAAGCAATCATGACAAAATTAGCACATTAATCTGATGAATTTTTAAAATGTGTAATTTTCGCTATAGGAATAAAACAAGAAATGAGCTGTCAAATTGACAGCAAACTGGGTTTTCTGTATTTTAAAGGCACTTTCAGGAATTTTTTACCTGCCCTTATTCTGTGTCTGTCAACCTATCTATCAAGGACCATCACTCCTGAATGGCAAAAGTGAAAGTCGTCAATATCTTACTTGACCCTCCATTTTGTCAATAGTAACAACATATTAAAATTTGAAAAGCATTGGTGAAATATTTTCATAAAAGAGGGACGAAAGATAACAGAGGGACAGTCAAACTCATAGATCGAAAACAAACTGACAATGCCATGGCCAAAAATAAAAAGACAAACAGACAAATAATAGTACAGATGACACAACATAGAAAACTAAAGACTAAGCAACACGAAACCCACCAAAAACTGGGGGTGATCTCAGGTGCTCCGGAAGGGTAAGCAGATCCTGCTCCACATGTGGCACCCGTTGTGTTGCTTATGTTATTACAAATCCCGTAAATAGTCTTAATTCGGTAGGTCACATTCGTGAAAAAGGATGGGTATTGTAGTTACGACATAAGGAACATATCCGATATCATCTGTGAAACGGTTATTCCATAACGGTCAACCAACTCGTGATGGCGTCTGTAAAATTTATAAGTTATTGCATGTAAACAACATAACACGTCATTTTCCAATCTATCAAGGACGAAACTCTCTCAACATGCCCAAGGATCAAAACTCCTGAACAGTGAACGTGAAAATCATCAATATCAACTTGACATCATTTTGTCATCAGTAACAACATATTAAAATATGGAAAGTGTTGGTGGAAAGTTCATAAGTTATTGAATGGAAACAACCTTAAGTACCATCTTCCAGTATACCAAGAAACATTACACCTGAACGCTAGAGGTGAAAATCATCAATATTGAACTTGACCTCATTTTTGTCATCAGTAATTAAGTCTCCCAAACGAAGTTTGGGAAGACTTATTGTTTTTGCTCAGTTCTTATTATTATTATTATTCTTCTTCTTCTTCCTCTTCCGCCGCTTTTAAATTTGAACTTGTCCGCACCCGTTCTCCAAAACCGCTTGTCAGATTAACTTAGGGTTTCACAATATGTTAGACTAACATGTCTAGTGGTGCAATCAGGGTTTTGTTTGGGCAGTGGGGTTTATAAAGGGGAACTTTGAGGGGCAAAAAGAAAAGAGGGTTTTACTATAGAACCCTATGGGATTTTATTTTTTAAAATTTTCAAATGATTATAAATTGAAAACCGTTTGTGATAAACACAATTTTTTTTATTGAAAATGTTCTAAATGATAAAGCCCATTAAATGAAATACAGGGTAAGTCCCCAGGGGTCACCCCCCACCCCCTGCCATTTAAGAAAGTTTTAATACCTTGAAGGTGGTCAAGATCCCCACCCCTAAACCATATATATTTTAGTTTGTCATGCTAAGATGGTTTGAATGATAGACAGGGTTAGTCCCCAGGGGTCATCCCGACCCCCTGCCATTTGAGAAAGTTCTAATATCTTGTAAATGGTCGAGATCCCCACCCCTAAACCATACATATTCTGGTTTGTCATGATAAAGCACATCAAATGTAATACAGGGTTAGTCCCTAGGGGTCACCCCCACCCCATGCCATTTAAGAAAGTTCTAATATCTTCTAAGTGGTCAAGATCCCCACCCCTAAACCATATATATTCTGGTTTGTCATGCTAAGATGGTTTGAATGATATACAGGGTTAGTCCCCAGGGGTCATTCCGACCCCCTGCCATTTGAGAAAGTTCTAATATCTTGTAAATGGTCGAGATCCCCACCCCTAAACCATACATATTCTGGTTTGTCATGATAAAGCACATCAAATGAAATACAGGGTTAGTCCCCAGGGGTCAACCCACCCCCTGCCATTTAAAAAAGTTCTAATATCTTGTAAGTGGTCAAGATCCCCACCCCTAAACCATATATATTCTGGTTTGTCATGCTAAGATGGTTTGAATGATATACAGGGTTAGTCCCCAGGGGTCATCCCCACCCAATGCCATTTAAAAAAGTTTTAATATCTTACTTGTAAGTGGTCAAGATCCCCACCCCTAAACCATATATATTCTGGTTTGTCATGCTAAGATGGTTTGAATGATATACAGGGTTAGTTCCCAGGGGTCATCACGACCCCCTGCCATTTGAGAAGGTTCTAATATCTTGTAAATGGTCAAGATCCCCACCCCTAAACCATATATATTCTGGTTTGTCATGATAAAGCACATCAAATGAAATACAGGGTTAGTCCCCAGGGGTCACCCCCACCCCCTGCCATTTAAGAAAGTTCTAATATCTTGTAAGTGGTCAAGATCCCCACCCCTAAACCATATATATTCTGGTTTGTCATGTTAAGATGGTTTGAATGATATACAGGGTTAGTCCCCAGGGGTCATCCCGACCCCCTGCCATTTGAGAAAGTTCTAATATCTTGTAAATGGTTGAGATCCCCACCCCTAAACCATATATATTCCTATTTGTCATGTCTCGAACATCTGAAAGATGTATACGGTCAGTCCCCAGGGGTTCCCCCCATCCCCAATGATCTAATATCTTGTAAATGGTTGAGATCCCCACCCCTAAACCATATATATTCCTGTTCGTCATGTAACAAACATTTGAATGACGTATAGGGTCAGTCCCCAGGGGTTCCCCCCACCCCCAATGTTCTAGTATCTTGTAAATGGTAGAGATCCCCACCCCTAAACCATATATATTCTGGTTTGTCATGCAGAGATGATTTGAATGATATACAGGGTTAGTCCCCAGGCATCACTAATGCATATAACTTTACTGGACCAAACCAATTTTCACTGGACGTTGCCCAATGTCAGGCGACCCTGGGAATTACGAATTATGGGAGCTTCGTTTGGGAGACTTCGTAACAGCATCCTGTTACAATCATTTCTTGTTACATATTAGAATTTGAAAAGTATTGGTTAAACAGTTCATAAGTTATTGAATGGAAACTGTTGGCAGTTGCCAACTGCCCACCATCCTTTCCAATTAGGTAACTGGATTTTTCCTTTGAAAAACCCAGTTAAAATTAAGAAATTACTTTAAAATTGTTGTTGTGGCCTTTGTAAGTAAAACATTGCCTGTATTAGATGTAATACTTAAAATGTGCTTTTCATGTATGATGTTAACATGCTTAATCAGAAATTAGACTTTATAGATGAAAATACAAAATCATTGAACGTGGACAAACTATTAGACAAAATGGCAGAACAACCACTGGAGAGAATTAAAACAGTCAGAGGAGAATTCAATGAAGATTTAACTCCTGAGAAAATACGTGACAGATTATTAGAAAGGTGAGACATACCAACAATTATTTTTGCATTTGTAATGCTGCAAAGGAGAAGTCTATTAAACAAACTAAAAAAAAATACATAAAATTTTCTTTAGTATTTCTAACAAACAATACAGTCAAGCCTGATAAAAAATCCTATCTTTATTCAGTGACCAACTTATGATGTATGGGATTACATTTCAATCCTCCCCAATAGATGATCAGCAGGATAAGTAAGAGAGATCTACAAATACTTCATTGTACTTCAATAGCCTGAAATTGTCAGGTAACTCTTAATAGAGTTATTCCCCTTTAATGATTAGCAGGATAAGTAAAGATCTACAAATACTTCAATATGCCTGAAATTTTCAGTTAACTCTTATTATGCTTAATAGAGTTGTTACCCTTTAATGATAATTTTTGCTAAAAAGTTGCCATTGTCTTTAGAGCCTCCAGTTTTGCTTTATTATAGCCCAGGTTTTTTTTTAACAGGGCAGTAAATAATTGATTAGGGTATCCATTTATTTGTCCTGTTTTCCCACTTTTGTAACAACTGCTGGTTTTGGCATGACAGAATTATATGTAACTTTCCAAGAATCTTCCTTTTGAACATCTTATTCATTTCTGTATCTGAAAAGTTTTTGAGGTTTAATTTGACTTGACATGGACTTTGTCATATCCTCACACTACAGTACACATTTTTATTTACATCTCCCCCTTATAGATTTTATTTTAAAAATTCCTCAGAATGGTAAATATAAAAGTAAGAATATGTGGTATGATTGCCAATGAGACAACTCACCACCAGAGACCAAATGACATAATGGAATATGTAGACAGCTCTCTCACAAGCAAAAAATCCTAGCTGTAAAATATAAGGGCATACAGCACAGGCACGGGACACACTGTACTGCATCAACACAGCACAGCACGGGAACACTTTCTATTGCATCCACACAGCACAGCATGGAACACTTTCTATTGCATCCACACAGCACAGCATGGAACACTTTCTACATGTTCTATTGAATCCACATAGCATGAGCAACAAACCCACTCTATCATAGACTTTGCGATTGCTTTATTTGGGTGGAAGGGGCCTTATGTTGTGAGATTTGCTTATATTCCGTTTTTTTTTGGGGGGGGGGATAGTTAAAGATTAAATATGTGTGCTGTTGAAATATTTTAGGAAAGAATATTTTATGAAGAGGAATAATGGCCATCTTTTCACTTTGATGTTCATTATCATGGTAAATAAAGAGAAAAGAATAAGTTGGTATTGAATGTAACTAATTATATATATATAGATTCTACCACTGCATTGAGTGTGATACGATATTTATCCACTCGAGACAGTTAAATTTTCAAATTTAAAACGTGAGGCTCGCTGAGCGTTTTAAATGTTTAAAATTTAACTGTCGAGAGTGGATAAATATCGTATTACACGAGATTTGGTGGTGGAATCTGTTTCTCTAATGATTTTCAAACAATATGCAGGCAAACTTATTCCTTCTTTTTGAATGATCTGCAAAAAGATGTGTTCTTTCTATGTGACGTCATCAGGCATGGTCGCCTTTTTTCATGCCGTCACAATAGGAAATTCAGAGGAAAGCAAGAAAATTCGACGTCATAATCGGATTTTATCCAATGAAGAACTGAGATCAAACGAACCACACGTTGATTAAATTTTTTTTATACAATGGGTGCAGAAAGGGATAAATTGACGAAGAATTAGAGAAATATACATATACATGATATAAGGAAGAGCTAAAAAGAAAAACAAATAAGATGATATGAAGAAAAACCTTAGAATCAGAGAATCAGAGAATTTATATATAATAACTTCATATTAGATGAATGTCAGACTATATTACAAAGACATGATATTTTTATTTTAGTTTACAATAGAATTTTGAGTTTTATACATATTTTGACACATTTCATTTTCACATTTCAAATAAAGGCTAAACTTAAATTAATTACCTTCTTCCACAGTGATAAAAAGAGCAGCAGTGTAGATATTAGTAAGACAGCCAGTTTTGTCAAGGCTTTACAGACAGTTGTTGGAACAGTAAATTCATTCCTTCAGGAGCTTACAATAGAACCAAATGTACCAGTAGATCTAATGAAAAACCTGGTGGAAAGTCCACAGTTGGGTAATCATCAGCAGGAACAAGAAACCAGTGTCAACAAAACCAGTGGTGAAAATATTCAAGGTGTAGATTTGAACATCAAACAAAAAGATATGAACTCGAGGAAACTTCTAGAGAGAGAACCAGTCTTACAAAACAGTAGAAATGTGAGGGATGATTGTGTTCTTGTTCCCCAGTCTCTACCTGTCTTGCTACGCTCTAACAGTGATGAGGTTGAGGATACCAGTAACTCTGATTCAGATTATGAAGGACCTTCAAGGGATTCTGGAATTGAATCCGATGCATTGACAGCGAAAAAACATAATAAGGCATCAGAAGGGGTTGGTAGTTTAGATTGTTTTGATGGACGATCTCATTGTATTACACAGACAACGAATGCAGAGAGGAACACAACAGGTACAAGTGACATGGTATTATCAGGACAATCTATGAAAAGTATTGCGAAGACATCAGATGGAAATATGCTTACAATATGTTCAAGTGAGATGGTAACATCAGAAGGATCCAAGCAGAATAATGATTGTGCCATTATTGAGTCATTCTTACAGAATGGTAAGGATAACAGATATTTTACATTTTTTGCAGAAAGCTGTCCAGAATCAAAATGTATATTCTCATTTAAAGGAAATCTACTTATGTTTCAGGGTACCATTTTTTTATGAAACTTTGTGGTTAACAGGTTTTCAGGTCTAAAACACATAGACACATTCAATTTCATGATAAAATAGTAAAGTTTTCAGTCTGTACTAACCAAATATATATGCGTATGATTTATTACCAGTATTTTTATGCCCCACCTAGGGGCATTATGTTTTTCAGTCTGTGCGTCCGTTCGTTCATCCGTCCGTCCGTCTGTCCCGCTTCAGGTTAAAGTTTTTGATTAAATTTTTGGTCAAGGTAGTTTTTGATGAAGTTGAAGTCCAATCTTAGTACACATGTTCCCTGTGATATGATCTTTCTAATTTTAATGCCAAATTAGAGTTTTGACCCCAATTTCACGGTCCACTGAACATAGAAAATGATAGTGCGAGTGGGGCATCCATGTCCTATGGACACATTCTTGTTTTTTAAAGTAGTGATTAAAATGACATGTTTGATGTTAATCCCATATATTCCTTTGTATAGGGTACAGAATAAAAGGAAAAAAAGGAGATCAACAACACAGAAAGCACAAAAGACATTAAAAATCACATTTTGACAACTATACATGCCTTTGTTTAGAATGCAGAATAAAAGCAAAAAGGAAAAAAAAAGAGATCAACCCAACAACACAGAAAGCACAAAAGACATTAAAAATAAAATTTCACAACTGTTGCAAATATTGATTGTCAATCATACTGTGAAAGTTTACAGGATTCAAATTGGCCAACTGTTGGATTTGTTTTGAACTTTAATCTGCTTATTTTTATTTTCATAGCTTTGAAGATTGGCCAGTCATCTGATGTAAGGAAAGACAAAGAAGGAAGCAGAACAGAATATTCAAGTCCTGTTTCTGTAGGCAGAGGAATTGGTAGAGGTAATACTAACATTAAACAAGAACAAACATGTCCTCTTTATATAGGCAGACGAATTACTAGAGGTTTGGAGATGTCACAGTCAAATACATTGATAAACAATAGCTTACATGTCCTGTTTATATTAATAGATAGAGGAGCTTAGAAATTAAAAGAAATTGACATAAAGAACATTTATTTCTTTAAATTGAATGAAGAAATATGCAAATTCTTTTTCTTCAGTTGAAGAATCTGGCAGTAATAACTATACTCTTAATGGTTACCCTTTTCTTTTTGTTTGCAAAATTACAGTAAAACCTGTATTGAGCAGTAAATCATTAGAAGTATCAAAAGTGCCCACTCAAGAGGGGTGACCTTTAAAAACAGGTTCCGAAAAAAATTCTGTTTTTGACATTGGCCATTGCTCGGATAGCGGCAAATTGTTTTAGTGTTTTCAATTCGTAGAGTAATCTTTCTTGCAAGCAATGAAATAAAAAATAGCAGATTCCGGCATTGTAAATTCAAAGAAAACTTTCAAAATAAGTTAATATTTGTGTAGAAACACATGGAATTCTCAAATTCACTTCTTATTGTACCCTTTTGGTTGAAAACACGTTTGGATTCTCATTTTGACGTCCATAATGAATACATAAATTTTTGCTATGATTATATGTTAGAAAGAGTCAATGAACTATAATTCTTGTTTTCCATTTTTATTCATCATTATCTATGGATTATGTATACATGATGGGAAAAAGCATGAAGTAAATATAAGAAAATGAAAAAGGTCAATAAAAAAGTTGATATCTCGGGTTTATGGGGTGAAATAATGTATAAAATTATTGCTACAAAATATTTATCTATCAAAGGTTATGTTGCCCTGATGACTTACATTATCATTTTCATTTTAAAAGAGAGGTGAAAGATACCAAACGGATACTTCCAGTTTCCTGACTTTTGAAAAGTTGATTAGCAAGTGACATGGTTTTAACTACATTTTTTCGGATTTTATTTTCAGGTGTACTTGGGATTTTTAAAAAGTGAAAGATAACAGCTAAAAAAGGAAAAATGCAAATGAAAGATCAAAAGATGGTTTAAAGAACAGAGAAGAAATTCAGCATACATACAGATTCACAGAATGCTGAATTACAACAGAAAAATACAGGAGTTTGATGTCCATTTTTCATTTTTATATGTTTTATAAGATCTATTTTTAGATGTAGAAATGCTATAAAAGTGATTTCTGACAGTCAGAAACATTTTATTCTTGATACAGTTAAGATTTCCATTTTGAAATAAGCAACTGAAATTGGAAAATTGATTAATTTCTTTTTCATTGCAATGACACACAGAACATCACCAAAAGGCAAAATATGCCTCATAGTATTCAACTAACCTCCACCTCCTCAACCACCAGAAAGAGTAACTCACCAGTGGAACAAGTCCAAATGATATTAGTTTTGTGAATACATTATTAAAGTTTTGAGTATTTTAACCGTGTCCCATAATTAGAATGTTTATATGTAGGGTTTTATGCACTTTCGTTTGTCCATCAAGATAAAGATAGTTGAAGCTTAAATTGATGTAGAAAAAATAAATTTGTACGAGTTGCTGGAATTGGTCTTAATGACAATCAAGTTATGTTTAAGCAGAAATGTTAAGATGTGACCATTTACAATATTAATTATCAGTTAATACAAGTTTATGAAGTTTAAATGTATAAAAAGCATGATATATAAATTTATGAAATATATATATATATATATATATATATATATATATATATATATATAAAGAAAAGTCAAATAGAATCCGTATGCTGGTAACACATAAGAAAAATAATATAAGATAATGACGGTTTACTTTTACTCAGTAAACCGTCATTATCTTATATTATTTTTCTTTTATATATATATATATATATAATATATATATATATATATATATATATATATATATATATAAAAGTATAAACATTTCACAGATTTAAAGGATCTGCCTTTTATTTTGTTTACATTATGTTCCATGAAAAGATCTGTCTAAAGCGTGTTGTTGATGGTTTTCCATCTGTCTTGCAACACATTTTTCTGAAACAAAGGGTTTGTTGATGATAACTAAGTTCATCTTTGAGTAGAAAATTTGTAAAATTTCTACTTTAATATAGGTTTAACTTGATTTTCACTGCTACTGCAGTTACCATTCCAGTGTTATGTCCCTTGAACTTGATCAAAATAGTCAAATTGATTTTTCTATAACGACAAGTTGGCTTGAATCAATATTAAAACTTTTCACTTTTGCCACATTTATGATTTTATAGTACTGCTCCTTGAGTTACCACAAAATTGTTAGTATACTTTCCAGATTAAAACTTAAGCATTCTTTGAATGAAAAAATTATAACTTTGCAATGTTACTAATGCAGATAGTGTTTAATTTTATAAGCATTCCAGAGTTATACCTCTTGAATCATCTTACATGAGAAAAGTTAGTATCAAGGTGGTAAATTAGTTTTATTTCAGGATAGGATTTTATAGTTCTAAACATGACTAACTTTCAAGATTTGTAAGTCAAGTTAGAATTTTTCTGTTATCTCAAATAACAATTCTAGAGTTGTGCCCTTAGGTATGTCTAAAAAATTCCCAAATTAGGTTAATGTGATGATGATAGTTGTACTGGCTATGAAAATAAACATTTTGTAATATTTGCCTCCTTCAAAGCATTGCTGTTTATATAAACTTATGTAATTTTAGCACTTGTAGAAATTATAGCAATATGTAAACCATGGTTTCTAGTTGATAACTTTTTGCCAGCTTTGGAAACTCATTATATGTCATAACTACTTAGAACCTCAACAATTGGGATCATTTTTGATTTTCAGTAGTTGAACTGTTTTGAGAGCATGGTTGGTTTTTCCAATATTTTATATGTAAAGAGGAAATCAATATCTTTTTCTGATGCATCCAAATAGTAGATTTTTGCATACATTTCAGAATATATCTATATCTTTTGTTGTAAACATTTAATGCTTTGTTCATATGTTGTAATTAAAAAAAAAGATGAATATATTGTAAAGTTAAATACAAGACTTAACGTACTTGGGGTCTCTTTAAAGTGAATTTATATAAAACATTATGAATGTCAGCCATCCAGTTTGAAGTTCATATGCAGATTTCTTCTAGTGCACATTCTTGAAATATTTTTCATTGTTTTAAAGTACTTAATGAAGTCAAAACAAATACATTTTTAGATTTATACTTTTTTATCTGCAATATTAATAACTTTCTGTTATGTTACGTTGGCTTCAAACATATCTTATCGAAAAAAATCTTGTCTGACCTATTCTATCTCTGTATTATCACAAACAAAAAGGAAGGATATGGCCATTTCTTCTAAATTTGATATTTGTTTTTACCAAAAGTATTCTGCCACATGTATGAATAGTCCTGATCACCATTTTGTAAGAGTAAAAATGTTTTATGATAACAGTTAAAGAATTAACTCAATAATTTTGAACAACAGTAAGAAAATAATGTTTGATAATTTTTACAAAAGTATTTCATAAAGTTTGAATGCTTATTGACAAGAAGATTTTTTTGTTATTTTTCAGGCTACCATTGAATTTTATACTCTCTAGAAATTCAGCTTTCATTTCCTAGCCTTTCAAGGAAATATTCATTTTTTCCTATTCTATTTAAACTGAAACATCTGTCCCTGATGAATTATATAAAAGGCAGCATACCAAATCAAAATGTGAAAAAGGGAATGGTTGTACTTTCTTATTAGCCACCATTCGTATTTAAAATCATGATAATGACTTGAGATGTAAATATGTCTTCTTAAAAACAAATAGATCAATGCATGTTGCATTTTACCTTTTAAACATCTGTAGAGCAATGTGACACCACAGTGCTGTAGGGACTTGTAAGTAAGTGTATGTTTCACAGAAATTGAAGACAGTGAACTGTTTGTAAAGTTGCCTCCCTTTCCTATGGTTGTAAAACAGATTATCTTTCTGTGATTAATATGTAGATGCTAATTATAATTATATTGAAGTTATATATGTTAAAACTTTGTATCTTTTTATGTATGGTTTGAGTTTATTCTGTGTAGAACAGAATTAAGTAAAAGGCAACATGAACTATACTATTTTTGTATAATGTTCTATTTGAAGATCAAAATAGATCTGATAGCATAATTTCTTTTTTAAATTTGACAAACTACCCATTTTATAAAGGTTGATATCAATATCAATTAACCATGTTTACTTACTAATCATAATATAATAAAGAATATATATTTTAGACTTGTATTAAAGTTCAAATTATCTTATTTTATTGAAATATCTTGCCATGCCATACTTCTGTTTTTAAATTATTTATCAATGCAGTTGTATTTTTTTAGGAATGTTCTCATTGTTTTTGCAACATTTACTCTGCAGTTTATTGTATCTATCATCATTTTATTTAAGAACAAATTGTTGTTATTGTCATCTCTTTGCATATTAACAGCAGCATTGTAGTGTCTTGTTATTTTACAAAGCTTGACAGCTGCCTTTTTCATTTCTTATTGTTTTTTTTTAGTGGGAAATGACATTTCCTTCAATACAAAAATATACATTGTATCAACTGAAATTTCACAAAATTTCTTTTTTAAAGTTGTTTCATAAATGTAATATGTCCATGTGAACAAGTTCATAACAGTTTCATATAACTGTTGCATTATGATGACAATAGTGTTGTAATAATAGTATAGCTATATGATGACAATAGTGTTGTAATAATAGTATAGCTATATGATGACAATAGTGTTGTAATGATAGTATAACTATATGATGACAATAGTGTTGTAATAATAGTATTACTATATGATGACAATAGTGTTGTAATAATAGTAGTACTATATGATGACAATAGTGTTGTAATAATAGTAGTACTATATGATGACAATAGTGTTGTAATAAAAGTTTTACTATATGATGACAATAGTGTTGTAATAAAGGTTACAATAGTGTTGTAATAAAAATATTACTGTATGATAACAATGATGCAATGAAAATATTGGTTTTGTTTTCAAATAGCCTTATAATTTGTAATAAGGAGAATCTTGGGAACAAAAGTGTGCATAATTACTTTAAATCAATAGACAAAACATCTAATTGTGAGCTTGTTAAACTATACAGGGATGCCTTTTCAAATTAGTTTGTTTTTAACAAAACATTGATATATCTTGTTTGCATTCCATTTTTGTTCAGTTGTTTCATTTTGGTGTTTGTAATCTATACATATATAACACATTCCTAGGAACAAAATTATCAGATAAGAGTGGTAAATGTTCATTTCATGATTTGACATTGTGAGTGGTTTGGTTTGACATTTACATTTAAAACTGTTATATCATATCTAATTCCTTTTCATTGATGAAATGCATCGTTTTAATGATAGTTGAAGAATATGTGCAATTTCATAACAAAGAATTTTAGTGTGATTTTGGGTCATATTTTGGTTATTTTATAAGTAGTAGATTCTTATATGTCTTGAAGGATTTATATTTTTATAAGACAATGTTTTAATGTAATCTTAATTTTGATGTAAATAGAGTGACATATAGCTAGATTTTTTGTTATACCCAACAAAGCATGTTGTTTTTACATTTAAGCATCTAAAATTTGAAAATAGATTGATCAGATAAATTTTTCACGTTTTAAATTTTACAATATTTACTGCAATGTATAGTATAGTTAGATAATTTCTTTCTGTGAAGCTATAAACTGTATTTAACACCTTTCACCTTCAGTGTGGCACTGATAGCATCTAGTGGGATGACATATAATGATCACATTTAATGTTTTCCTTTGTGGTTTAAGTCAGTTTTTTAATCCACACTTTCTTCAATATGGCTTGGCAGAATCAATCAAACTTGCATAGATTCTTCCTCTGTAAATGTAGCTGTCCACCTCTTATTTTGTTATTTGTGTGATTTTCATGGTTTCTTGAATCAAAACATTAAACTGTCACTCAGACGCAACCATATTCTAACCCTCAGATCATTGGTTTTCAGCTCTTTTTTCAGCAAGCACATGGTCAAAAAGATCCACTTTAATATTTCAACAGAAATAATCCATATAGCAGATGGGAGTATTGTCATTAATTTAGGTCTTCTGCTCCTTCCCATTTTGAAGCCAGCTGACAGAAAAGACAAAGCATTCAAGAAATTTTAAAGCTTAGTTGTTCATTTTTTTTTCTATCTGTTCACAATGTTTTTCTTTTACCTGTTGGACTAGTTGGTTTTTGATGGAGTGATGATGGTGTGTCCAATATTTTTGCCAAATATATTGTATATTATTGAAGCAATTTATTAATGTTTTGTCTTAAACATTAATGAATATACTTGTACATGGCATCATGTTTATTAGAGTCATACTTGATATTGTACGATAGTATAACCAGTGTTTTTATTTGAAGCATGAAAAAATAGACAGCAAGATTTTTAAGTTGTTATATATATATATAGTTAGTATAAAAAACGAAGGATTGTGTTAGTATGAGAAAGAATGATGTAGAAGACAGATTTCCATTTGACATTCAAATATGTATGCCTAGTTGCATAAGTATGTCAAAGAATAGAAAAAGAATAAGAAAGGTGCATGTTTTACAATCGCAAGTATAATTTAAAAAAATGTTTTATCTTTACATTTGTTTCTTTTATAGAAATGATCATGTTTAATGTGATGTACGTTTTACTGATATTTTGCTTAATTTGTACTGTATTGCTTTCACGTTATTGTATGTATTGTCTATTGTTATATAGAGGGGATATAT